TCCCCCTCCTCTCTCTGCCCCTCCTTCTGGCTGTGGTATGTCCCTTGTTGTCCTCGTGTCTAATGCAAGCCAACGGGCCTGCATCAGACAAGACGATGTCAGTGGTCCTTAGACTGCAGGGGCCCCGGGGGAGAAGAGGCTGCAGGGACCGGTCTAGCAGCCCAGAGGGAGCCGGGATCTGGTATGTAAATCTGTAAAGCCTGCAGAGCAGAAGTAGGATATCCAGCTGGGGTGCAACTACAAATCCCATGAGGCTCTGCAACACTCTGGCAGCCACAGGCATGACTCCCGCAGGCAGATGCATGATGGGATATGCAGTTTCACCACAGACGGGGTGCCGGAGTCTGCCCAACCCTGCTCTATAGGAAGGATATCCCCAATTTCCACCCTCATTCTCAGCCTGTAGTCCCCAAATAACCAACTGCAGGTTATGTGCAGGAATCCACCATGTGTAGAATAATGTGACCCCCCCCCCCCCCCTTATAGACCCCCATTATGTCTGATGAGGGGACCCTGCGTGGCATAATGTGACCCCCATTACATCTGATGAGGGGACCCTGCCTCATATGTGACCCCCATTATGTCTGATGAGGGGACCCTGCGTGGCATAATGTGACCCCCATTACATCTGATGAGGGGACCCTGCCTCATATGTGACCCCCATTATGTCTGATGAGGGGACCCTGCGTGGCATAATGTGACCCCCATTACATCTGATGAGGGGACCCTGCCTCATATGTGACCCCCATTATGTCTGATGAGGGGACCCTGCGTGGCATAATGTGACCCCCATTACATCTGATGAGGGGACCCTGCCTCATATGTGACCCCCATTATGTCTGATGAGGGGACCCTGCGTGGCATAATGTGACCCCCATTACATCTGATGAGGGGACCCTGCCTCATATGTGACCCCCATTATGTCTGATGAGGGGACCCTGCGTGGCATAATGTGACCCCCATTACATCTGATGAGGGGACCCTGCCTCATATGTGACCCCCATTATGTCTGATGAGGGGACCCTGCGTGGCATAATGTGACCCCCATTACATCTGATGAGGGGACCCTGCCTCATATGTGACCCCCATTATGTCTGATGAGGGGACCCTGCGTGGCATAATGTGACCCCCATTACATCTGATGAGGGGACCCTGCCTCATATGTGACCCCCATTATGTCTGATGAGGGGACCCTGCGTGGCATAATGTGACCCCCATTACATCTGATGAGGGGACCCTGCCTCATATGTGACCCCCATTATGTCTGATGAGGGGACCCTGCGTGGCATAATGTGACCCCCATTACATCTGATGAGGGGACCCTGCCTCATATGTGACCCCCATTATGTCTGATGAGGGGACCCTGCGTGGCATAATGTGCCCCCCATTACATCTGATGAGGGGACCCTGCCTCATATGTGACCCCCATTATGTCTGATGAGGGGACCCTGCGTGGCATAATGTGACCCCCATTACATCTGATGAGGGGACCCTGCCTCATATGTGACCCCCATTATGTCTGATGAGGGGACCCTGCCTGATATGTGACCCCCATTATGTCTGATGAAGAGACCCCATCTAGCATAACGTGACCTCCATTATGTCTGATGAGGGGACCCTGCGTGGCATAATGTGACTCCCATTATGTCTGATGAGGGGACCCTGCCTGATATGTGACCACCATTATATCTGATGAAGAGACCCCCATCTAGCATAACGTGACCCCCATTATGCCTGATGAAGGGACCCCGCATGATCATGAAATGTCATGTTATCTGTCATTGGGTGAAGAGCCATTGGTGTGCTGGTGACATATTTGCTTGTTACATGAAACACATCCCCATCCCCCACTTACCTGAATGTCGGGGTTCTTCTCCCCGCACAGCAGAGCCCCATATAAAAGTAAATGGGGGTTCTTCTGAGCAGGAAAGATACAATGTGTACAAAAGAGAACCGCCATGTCCAATGATATCATTCACACCAGTGTCTGACACTGCGTCTGCTCCTATATAGGGCGGGCGTTCCTAAAACATTACATGTGGTCACCGACTAGAACGGCCTCCACACGGTACGGCAGCCTCTTGTATACCTACATCAGTGGGGGCGAAGGCACACTTGTCTCCGAGGGACTTGGCCACGTTGCTGCCGTCCGAAGTGGGCAAATCCAGGATGACAGCGCTGGCTCCCTGATGCACCAACCGCTCCACCGTGGCCCGGCCAAGACCCGACGCTCCTCCGGTGACAATGCCGACCAGGCCCTGCAATAAAAAAGACCGCATGGTAAAGCCCAAGCTGTAAAAGTGGCTATATGCTGATGTCAGGTTCCTTATAGAATAACGGATTCGAGGATGACGTTGCAGGAAGTTGTTACCGGAACAAACTGTTGTTCTCCCGTCCTTCACTTCCTGTCTGGTTGAGCTGTTGTCACCTTACTACGTGCTGCAATGCAGGTGCTTTGGGGGTGGCCTTTAAAATGAATAGCACCGCGTTGCACCAAAATAGGTTACCGCTCACGTTATCGCATCGTGGCCATGTGGACAAGACTTTGAATCTGACAACCTTGACCCACTACCTCACAAGTAGCATCAGCGTTGTCAGCCTGCTTTCGAAGCACGTCCAGGGCTTCGAAAGAAAAATCAGCGGTCAGCCTGCTGTGCGAGTGTCTTCACTTGGCCAGTGAACCGCCCGTCTGATCCATTGGACCGCCTATCTGATAGGCTGGCCAACTGGAGGAGCACACACAGCAGGCTGACAACAGCAATTCTAATTGCAAAACAGTGGGTTAGCCTTGTCAGCCAGAAACAGGAAGTGATGTCAGCCTGGAACAGGAAGTGCAGTTACTGGCAGGATTTCCAGGGTAAAGAACTTTGCAACAGAGTAACAAAAATCAATTTGCTTTGGAAAACTGAAATATGCCAAACATACCAAAACAAAAAAAGATTGAGGGTTTACCTGCATTTCAATCTAAGTGCAGTAACCCCTAGCAACCACTCCTATCCCTAAAAACAGGCCAGAAAAGGTGGGTTGTGATTGGCTGCTGTTGGTAAGTGCAGCAACCCCTAGCAACCAATCAAAAGTCACTTTGCTGAAACCAGAGCTGTAAAAGCGTCTTGCGATTGGTTGCACCGTGCGATGTGATGGCCCTGTGAGTACCAGGTGTAGCTATGCTGTATGGTGACAGGTAGAAGGTCATGCTCTGTGATCACGTGGCTGCACGTTGCTAAGCCCCTGAGGTCGCCACAGTGAGCCCCCGCAGCATGCCTGTCCTCCATGGCCGCCGAAACCTAACCCGACCCGCTTCACCCTTCACCGCCCGCTCACCTTCAGGCTCCGTACACTCGCCATGATTCCCAGAGCCCTGCCAAGACAGCCAACCAATCAACTCTCAGGAAGCCGGACGGCTGTCAAATCAAAAGGGCGAACGTCACGCAGGTCAAGACAATTTTTAGCCATTCAGAAGGGAGATGGAACATCCCGCCCACCAATCGCAGCAGGGAGCGCGGGTTTAAAGGAATCTCAGCGCGGTCTGCCGACTTTTAAACGCTTCTTAAAGGTGACATTGAAAACAACAGTGCGCATGCGCTAAGCTCTCCAGGGTGCTGAAAGCCTCTATTCAGGCACATTGTCATGCGGTAAAAGCCGAGGCCGTCATTTCTGGCCTCCGTAACAAAATGCAGGTTGACTGGCTGTGATTGACGTACTTTTGAGTCAGAATTCCTCATCTCAATACAGGTTCTAAGTCAGTGACTCGGAAAACTTCCACATGACTGCTCCTTCATGGGGGGGCTGAGCAGAGCAGAGAGGAATCTGCTGATGACTTGTTACAGATTCGGCCCCCCCCCCCACTTCTACATTACCACAATACATACCTATCACATGCATGCCCCCCACCTCTACATTGCCGCAATACATACATATCACATACATGCCCCCCCACCTCTACATTATCGCAATACATACATATCACATACATGCCCCCCCCCACATTACTGTAATACATACATATCACATACATGACACCCCCCCTCTACATTACCGCAATACATACATGTCACATAGCTTCTACCAGACACAAAAAAATCAGTTTTTGGTTGTTTAACCCTTTAGATTCGCAAGGTGGAACTACAAATCCCATGAGGCATTGCAAGATTCTCACAGACATGACTCCTGAAGAGAGATGCATCATGGGATTTGTAGTTTCACCCCACAGCTGGAGGGCCGGAGGTTTGAGACCCTAGGCTTAGAGCCTCGGTCAGATTCTGATTGCCCCTCCAGTCCGTTGGGGGGATTTGTTCTCACTTTATGTGTCCTGGTGGCCGTTTTTACTGAGCACAATCTGAAGGTAAATCTAACGCTGCCCACACACGCTACAATCTGATTGTACCGACATCTTTCCATCTATAAAGTAAACTGTACAATCAGACCGGCCCGTGTGTGGTCAGCTCCCCGATATCTCATGCAGACAACAACACGGGACATACAAAGAATTGACGACTGTGTTCCAAACAATATCTTTATTTCTATGAAGGATCGGACGGGACCCGTGGTCAGAGACTACGGCCATCGTTCACGGGAGGGGCGGAGTCACCGGAGGGGGACGTCTTGTTCAGCGGGTGGTAGTGTTGAACTGGCTGTGGTAATGTCCGGTCGGGTGGTTGGTGTACAAGACTTTATCCAGGTACTCCAGGCTACAGAGACACAAATTATTCATATTTACAATCGGTTTATTATTATTATTATTATTATACAGGATTTATATAGCGCCAACAGTGTGCGCAGCGCTTTACAATATAAGGAAGACATTACAAGACAAGATGGTGAGGAGGGCCCCGCCCCTGAGGGGCTTACAATCTAAGTGGGAGGGGCCAGTGATACATGAGGAGGGAGCTGTGTGGGGATTAATGGTTCAGCGGTCAGGTTGAGGCGGGATCGGCTTCCCTGAAGAGATCAGTCTTAAGGGATCGCCTAAAGGCAGTCAGAGTGGGAGATAGACGGACAGGTTGGGGTAGAGAGTTCCACAGGATGGGGGGAGACTCTAGAGATGTCCTGGAGGCGAGCATGGGAGGAGTTGACAAGGGAGCTGGAAAGCAGGAGGTCTTGGGAGAAGCGGAGGGGGCGATTGGGGTTTATTGTTTTATAACGACCAGAAGAGAACAATGAAAATAACGAAATACCCCAAATAAACCTTTTCACCTCTCTTCCTGGTAATGATCGAGCACCTCAAAACATGACTGTCTATGGCACCCCCTTCCCGAGCGAGTGATGGCCCAGCACGCACAGCATAGTAGTGCCTAGGCATGCCTTTGACCTTATATGGTATACTGCCATATTAGGTCAGTGTCATTTGGCAACTATAGGTATGTAAGGTAGGGATGCACCGATACTAGTATCAATATCTAGTATCAGTATCTAGTATCTAGCCAATCAGGAAGCCGGGAAGCGGATCATGACATGTCGCCCGGCTTACTGATTGGCTAGGAAGCCGGCTTCACGTGCTGCTAAGCAGCCTGTCTATGAGACCAATCAGTCTATGAAACCAATCAGGAAGCCGGGCGGCACGTATTGACCCGCCTGCTGGCTTCCTGATTGGTCAGAAAGCCAGGCTGCCTAGGAACAAGTGAAGCCGGCTTCTGAGCCAATCAGGGAGGCGGGTCATTACGCGCCACCTGGCTTCCTGATTGGCTGGGAAGCCGACTTTACGTGTTGCTAAGCGGCCTGGCTTCCTGGCCTATCAGGAAGCCGGACGGCACCTCATCACCTGCCACCCGGCTTCCTGATTGGTCAGGAAGCCAGACAGTCTCTTTAGCGAAAGAACACCGGCTTCACAGGCAATCAGGAAGCCGGGCGACAGGTTATGATCCACCGCCCGACTTTCTGATAATTGGGGCGCATTGCACCAGTACTCGGATTCGGTACTGAAAAAAAAAATATTGGTACTCGTACTCGATACCGAAAAACTGGCATCAGCGCATCCCTAATATAAGGTCAATGACATCACTGCATCCCGCCCCTTTGCATATGTCATCAATGACATCCCGCCCCTTTGCATATGTTATCAATGACATCCCGCCCCATTGCATGTGTCATCAATGACATCCCGCCCCTTTGCATATGTCATCAATGACATCCCGCCCTTTTGCCTATGTCATCAATGACATCCAGCCCCTTTGCCTATGTCATCAATGACATCCCGCCCCTTTGCCTATGTCATCAATGACATCCCACCCCATTGCATATGTCATCAATGACATCCCGTCCCTTTGCATATGTCATCAATGACATCCCGCCCCTTTGCCTATGTCATCAATGACATCCTGCCCCATTGACTATGTCATCAATGACATCCCGCCCCATTGCATATGTCATCAATGACATCCCGCCCCATTGCATATGTCATCAATGACATCCCGCCCCTTTGCATATGTCAAGCAGGGAATTCCACACCAGCAGCTAATTTGGCATCACAAAAGGAGCCCCTCCTGAACACGGAAGGAAGCTCCTGTGCCGCCCAATCAGCTGCTGGTGTGGAATTCCCCCTTCCGCCGCTTGTTGTGAGCGGCGGGGTGCAGTGACGTTGTTGACCTTATATGGCTACAGGCCTTTATTTGGTAAATTGACCTAATATGACCTATATGGCCATATAAGGTAAATGATGTCAGCACAAGTATCCCGTCCCTTTGTTTACATGCAGCTGCGGGACGGGGAATGCACCGTACAGCAGCTGATTGGGTGGAAGTGCCCATGGTCTTCTTTGTTCAGAGGAGCTTACTGTAGGATGGGCCCGGAGCTAATGCCTAATAATGACAAGGTCCTTTCCATCATGGAAGATGAGTGTTTTCCTATCTGCTCTCCGCTAGGACATGACAGAGGTTACTCCACCTGCGACTGCACGTTATTCTGCGGCCTGCTACGGAGTGTTCTCTGCATAATGCTGCAAACAACACTCAGTGGTCAATGATGTGCGGGAGCTTTCTTTGTCGAGTTTTTCCAAGCCCGCACCAAACTGTGAATGACACCCCCACGACCCACCCCAATGTCGTGGCGAGGGCATTCCCTGCCCCTCCGTGTCCTCCTAAGGTATATTTTCTCTTACTTCCTGTGCAAGCGACGGGTGTCAGATGCAACAGGAAGTGAAGAGAAATCTCCTCTATAAGGACACAGTGAACACCCAATAGAAGGTCTCATTCTTCCCCATGGAGTGAAGCTTTCATCATTCAGCATTGACTCCCCATTGGTTGCTATGGAGCGCCTCTCACCTGCTGCACTCGGGTGGACCTTTTAGCCTAAAATCCTCATTTACATTTGCCCCCTCAGTCTGGGTCAGTCTGGGTCCCGGGTACCGAGGAAAGGCTCGGTGCCAGTCACTTACTGTGCCCTCTGCTCTCTGTTCAGCTGCTGGTTGTATTGATCGGTTCTCTTCCTGATCTCCCTGCTCAGCTGTTCTTCTTGCTGCTCCAAGGTCATTGCGGCACGAGCCGCCAGGAACCTCTGCCTGTCCCACTCCGTGTCTTGCTGCTTCTCTTCCTCCTTCAGCCTCTGAGAAAGACAACAGCAGGAGAAAGGATTACAGTCTGCAAATATCGTCCTCATACAATCATGTCTATTCTCGGTGAGCTCTGTGTATTTCCTCCAGATCTGTGCGGTAATCCAGCGTGAGACTTCCTGTAATAAAGACCGCCCACTGCTGCTCTCTCTCCTTGTGCAGGGTGACTGGTCTTGCCTCCGCCCCCTCCTGTAATAAAGACCGCTCACTACTGCTCTCTCTCATGGTGTAGGGTGACTGGTCTCGTCTCCGCCCCCCTCCTGTAATAAAGACCGGTCACTGCTGCTCTCTCTCCTTGGGCAGGGTGACTGGTCTTGCCTCCCCCCCCTCCTGTAATAAAGACCGGTCACTGCTGCTCTCTCTCCTTGGGCAGGGTGACTGGTCTTGCCTCCCCCCCCTCCTGTAATAAAGACCGGTCACTGCTGCTCTCTCTCCTTGGGCAGGGTGACTGGTCTTGCCTCCCCCCCCTCCTGTAATAAAGACCGGTCACTGCTGCTCTCTCTCCTTGGGCAGGGTGACTGGTCTTGCCTCCCCCCCCTCCTGTAATAAAGACCGGTCACTGCTGCTCTCTCTCCTTGGGCAGGGTGACTGGTCTTGCCTCCCCCCCCTCCTGTAATAAAGACCGGTCACTGCTGCTCTCTCTCCTTGGGCAGGGTGACTGGTCTTGCCTCCCCCCCCTCCTGTAATAAAGACCGGTCACTGCTGCTCTCTCTCCTTGGGCAGGGTGACTGGTCTTGCCTCCCCCCCCTCCTGTAATAAAGACCGGTCACTGCTGCTCTCTCTCCTTGGGCAGGGTGACTGGTCTTGCCTCCCCCCCCTCCTGTAATAAAGACCGGTCACTGCTGCTCTCTCTCCTTGGGCAGGGTGACTGGTCTTGCCTCCCCCCCCTCCTGTAATAAAGACCGGTCACTGCTGCTCTCTCTCCTTGGGCAGGGTGACTGGTCTTGCCTCCCCCCCCTCCTGTAATAAAGACCGGTCACTGCTGCTCTCTCTCCTTGTGCAGGGTGACTAGTCTTGTCTCCTCCCCCTCCTGTAATAAAAACCACTCACTGCTGTTCTCTCTCTCCTTGTGCAGGGTGACTGGTCTACTGCCAACCATCTGTTAGAAAATGGATAAAACTCCTATCCTAAACAAACTTCTAAAAAAACACAGGGGTTATAAAGCTGAATTCTTGGGTACATAAATAATGTCGAAATACAAGAGGCATGTGTACTCGTACTTCAATCTTGGTGAGGTTTGTAATATTTCTTCCAGATCTGTGCAGAGTGAAACTTTTGCCTCTGTGCTGGAGCTTCCCGTAATAAAGACCAATCACTGCTGCTCTCTCTCATGGTACAGGGTACTATACTGGTCTTGTATCCGCCCCAACCTCTACCTTTCTGCAGGCAGCCTGTAGTGGATGGGGTCTGAAAATGCTAGCTGCCTGGCTGTCCTGCTCACCGTTTCAAAAGCTGTTACTGAGCCTCCCCCAGTATGCAGATAAGGGGCATCTGAAACTACTCTGACCTTCCTATTATATAAATGTGTGCCTAGCCAGTGACTTATGAATGCTGAGCAGATCAGCCAGGCAGCAAGAGTTTTCTCAAAGAAAGTCAGCAGTGGCATCTTCTCTGTGTCCCGACTGGAGAATCTCAAACCCTCAATCTATTTTTCCTGGTTGCCGTTGTCACTGGGGCAAGAAGTGATGGGAAATCTTCCAGAAGGGACACTTGCAGGGGCGTCATAAGGGGGGTGCGGCCCGCACCCGGGTGACACCATTGGAGGGGTGACACCAATATGACTGACAGTCATTTTGGTGTACCCCCTCCGAAAAGTCGGGCACTCGGTCATGGACAGTTGCAGGAGACGGAGGAAGGGACCTAAATCAGCTAAACAATCCCCAAGTGACTGTTTTTATGAACTATGAACATGACAGTAATTGGTTTTTTCTACCTGTTTTTCCTGCCGTTGCTGCTCCTGCGTTTCCAGGATGGCTTTGAGCTGCTCGGGGCTCATGCCTTTCCAGCGATCTGGCACAACCCGGTGAGGCCCATAGCCGCTAACCGCCGCTGCCGGATTTTCCGTCAGTATGTCCCCGGTCAGGTGGTTATAAATTTCGGCAAAGTTGTGATCTTCTTCTTGTTTCTTTTCCAGCTTCCTGCGCTCTGATTCCTCCATGGACTAGGTACGTGATAGAGACAGAGGTCAGCGCTACGGGAACCCATCTCCCGCCATGCGAAAATGGCAAAACCATATTACCCCGTGCAGTCAGCTTATGTTATGAACCCATCTCCCGCCATATAGGAACCCATCTCCCGCCATGCAGGAACCCATCTCCCGCCATGAGAAAATGGCAAAACCATATTACCCCGTGCAGTCACCTTATGTTATGAACCTTGTCCAATAGCTGCTTTGCATGCTGTGCATTATCATGTACAGAGACCTTGCCGAGTGCCCTGTGTGCGCCATTAATACAGCATAGAGATGCACACAGGGGTTGCAAGTCAGAGTATATCCTGAGCACATACACTATATGTATATGTGATAAATATATATACATACATACATACATACAGGGGCGTAACTAGAAATCACAGGGCCCCATAGCAACATTTTGTATGGGGCCCTGTAATTTCTAGTTATGCCCCTTGCAGAGCCCACCTGATATGCCAAACAGCCCACCTGAGAGTGACCCTGCGGAGCCCACCGTAGACTCTCTATGGCGGGCTCTCCAGGGTCTCAGGTGGGCTGCACACCTCTTACCTGTCAGCGCAGTCCGTCTCCTCTTCCGTCCCCTGCCTCCTCTTCCATCGATGGGCCTCGCCTCCTCTTACATCACTGGCCCCTCCTGCTCTTAGGTCGCCGGGCCCCGCCCCCTCCACTGCAAACGCCGGGTCCAGTCTCTTCTGCAGAAGCTGTCACTGACACAGCTCAGCGGCGGATGTGAGGAAGAACGCGGCGCGTTCCTCTTGACAGCAAACATGTCAAGCTTTAAAACTGCGCGCGCCCGCAAAATCACAAAAAACAACCGCACCCCAAATTTCCCTTTGGCGCCGCTTTAAACGCTTTTACCGCTCATCAGTTTAGTGTTATCAGTGATAAATGGGTAGAGAATTATTACTCTCATTCCGACGTTCTCGGTGATATGTAACATGTGCGGCAAATTGGGCGCAATCGTCATTTTCGCACGTAGGCGCACCCGACGCATGTTTGTGTGTGCATGTGGGGGGCGGGGGACTTTAAAAAAAATGTTGTGTTTTGTTTTTTTTTATTACTCTTTTTTTTATTTTTTTTTACACTTAACTTTATTGCTATCACATGGGGGGGGGGCTAAGAAGCCCCTTATGTGATAGTCAATTTACATGACAGGTCATCTTTATGGAGGCATCAGGGGTCCCCAAGACCCATAATGTCACCTAGGGACCCCCGGAGAAGCTGATGAATCAGAGATCTGCTTTACCAGCTTCTCAAGCTGGTAGAGTGACACAGGAATGCAGAAGTGATGTCATTATACATCACTTCCTGCATTCGGGGACCGGAGAGGAGATCAGAGGTAGATTGTGTACCGATCTCCCTTTGATCTCCTGTCACAGGCAAGCCATGTCGGTCCCAGCCGCACCGGGCACAGCGGATCCCGGGACCGGCAATAGCAGTGACGGCTAATACAAGCGACTAGAGACGCCCGATCGCTGGAGTGTAAAGCTCCGGGCCATTTGCCTACCCCTGCTCTAGGGGCTGCTATACCCCAGTTGTGTACACCAGGCCGTTGTCATGGGGTAGATCGGGATGCTGAGGTCTGTATGACTTACCAATGCTTGGTTGAAGTTATTGATGGCCATGTTCACAGCCTTCCTGCATTCTTCTTCCATCTTGCTCATGTGCTGGGCTCTCTCGTCCAGCTCCACCCTTTTCTTGTCATATAAATCATCTGGGAAGTGCACAGAGAGTTCACAAGAGTAAAATCCATGAAACGAGAGACGAACAGAAAGTTTTCACTTCCAAAAATAAAATACGTACAGTCCATGCGTCCCCGATCTTATAATCAGGGAGCCGCTCATTACAAAGTTTCTGGTTTTCCTCTCCTTATGGAAATCCCACTCGGTGTTTACTTCTGATTTCTATAAACAGCTCAACATTGAACTCTGGGATAAGCAGAGGATGTCTACATACAAGAGCCATGTGTATTCTTCCTGGAATCTTGGGGAGCTTTGTGTATTTCTTCCAGATCTGGGTGAGACTCGGAGCTTCCTGTAATAAAGACCGCTCACTGCTGCGCTGTCTCCTTGTGCAGGGTGACGGGTCTGGTCTCCGCCCCCTCCTGTAATAAAGACTGGTCACTGCTGCGCTCTCTCCTTGTGTAGGGTGACAGGTCTTGTCTCCGCCCCCTCCTGTAATAAAGACCGCTCACTGCTGCGCTGTCTCCTTGTGCAGGGTGACGGGTCTGGTCTCCGCCCCCTCCTGTAATAAAGACCGCTCACTGCTGCTCACTCTCTTTGTGCAAGGTGACTGGTCTAGTCTCCGCCCCTCCTGTAATAAAGACCGCTTACTGCTGCTCTCTCTCCTTGTGTAGAGTGCTGAGGTTGCCTACCCCTGCTCTACAGTATCCAGCACACTTATCAATTTGTCAGATCCCCGGTCCCCCAGTTCATGCTGTGGTTCCCTCCACCATTCCCTATGTCACTGCTTTGTCCAGTAGTGATGTAGAGCTTCATGGGAGGAACCATGGAGAGCAGAGGGGGAGACCAGTGATTTGACGCTGCTGGACGTGTTGGATGAAGAAGACACGTCGGGCAAAGATATCTCAGGGATACAAAGGAGAACAGCAGTGTGGGCTGCGGCACAGGAAGTGACTTCTATGGCAGGAAGTACGATCTTTTATATTTATTTCAACGTGACAGGGTCTCTTTAAGTGTTTCCACGACTCCCTTCGACTGACCTGCATATTTTTTCTGTGCTTCGCTCCTCTTCCTCTCATCCTTCTGTTCCGTCAGCCAGGTTTTAGTCAGATCCGCCTGCAGCTTCTTTCGTTCCTTCTCGCTCAGGTCTTCTCCTGCAAACTTCTGTAAGCTGGCGGGCCCACATCTGGGATCGTGGTCACTCACTCGAGCAGGCCGGTCCTTCTTCAGTGCGTCCGGGTCATACAGGTCAAATTCCCTCCTGGTCTCGGGCTGTTGCTGGCCTTCTCTGAATTTCTGCACCCCCTTGTCTAGGTCTCGGGCGATCTCATGTTCTCGTTGTTCCAGCATCTGAGCAATCTTATCATACTGCTGCCGGTCTCCATCTGCAAAAGGTGATAAACGGGTCACATTCACATTCACACAGATGTTAGAAGCATTCATATTTCTGGTATGACTGAGACCCCGTTCACACTGAGCAGTTTATCGTGCAATTTCGCGGGGGGGGGGGGGGGGACCCCCGACAGGGGGCCGGG